AAGGATGCCAAGGCGTTTCGGAGCGACTCGTCGATGCGAAGCCCTGCGATGTGCAAGATGCGCAAGTTCTGATAGAGGCCGAGTGTGTTGGAAAAGGCGGTGATGGCTCGCGCGTAGATGTCCTGCCATAGCTAAAAATTCACTTTGCCGTTGGAGCGCCACACCGCACGGTTGTCACCCAAAGCGCTGAACTGCCAGGACCGAACCAGTAGAACCCGGGGAGGTTCCGCCAATCTGTCCAACCGGACCGCAATCCGGTGCATGCGGCGAGCCAGTTCTATGAAGTGCTCTGGGCTATATTTAAAGCCAGAGGGTAATGCGTCGAGGCTGGCATATTGCAGGCGGAGCAACAGGGGCAGGCAGATAGATCGAAACACCTGGCATACTAGTGATACTCGACGGAGTTGCCTCGTAGAGCATAGAGTCCAGCATGCCAGCCAGACTTCTGTGGGGATGATGTGTAGATAGTCGGCTGGTGGCTCGCCCATGCCTGTCGTAGTGCACAAGAGAGGATGAGGGGAGCGGATGCATATCAGGGTTTATATCAGTTCCGGTACCGCTGTTCCCATGGCACAGGTTCGCACTGCTGAGTGATAGTTGTCAGTCACGGCTGATACTGTAATCTCGGCTCCAGATGTTTGGGTGTGTGCCGTTCCTGACGGGATCACTGATGGGAGGCAGAAAAAAATGATGAAAAAGATGCGCGGAAGGCCACACCCAAACATCTGGTGCAGCTCGTAGTGTAGCCATGCGATCGCTCCCATCGGTCACATCAGTCACGAAATGCACTTGCTCTCAATTATCGAGGGTATGGTTAAACTGCAGACCTATCTCTACATATTAACCCTTCAATGTGTTTAGAATACACTGTGGAAGACGTATTGAGAGAAAAAACGCGAAGAAACACGTTCAAAAGTAGTCATTTGAGGAAGTCATCATTCTGCACACTTCTCAAAGTCTTCACATACCCGAGCTCCAGATCTTCAAGAAGTGTTATGGCCACCCGGAAATAGGTCTAATAGACACATGGATAGGTTGAGGCTACGAAATTTAATTTTACCGGCCACCGATCCTTCTAATTTCACAGGTTTTCAGGGTTTGACTGGCAGGCATAAGGAAATTGATTCGGGTCGAAATAGATAAATCTAAGGACGCCATTGATTCCAGAATGACTCAATGGATCAATTAGACGAAGATTTGGGGCCAAATATGAATGGATGTGGGAAAACCATGCAATTGAAGCAAAGTTGTTGAGAGCGTGACACGATCGCCCGTTATCTATACGAGTTGCACCAGACGTTATAGGGCAGTACTCCGCAATCTTTTCTCATCAAAAACATCTGCCTCGGCATCATCTCAACAAGATGACATTATAAATAGCACTGTGAATTGCCCCGCGAGCGCAGCGAGTGACTGCCCTATAATGGCGGGAACGAGACTACTGATACTGCGGACTGGACGTAAATAAATTCATCAATCATCAGAGATGCACGAATTGCAAGATGTGTGCAAAGTCACAAGTGTCCTGTTCAGCCGTACTTATACATTTTGTTCGTTGTGCATTGACAGTGCACTTCTCGTCAGTTTGAAGCCTGAACAACAATGATCTTCAAAGATGTGGGATTTGGCATGCTACGATGCGTCCAGAGGGGGATGCAAATTTACTCGGAATTAGAGTAGTTTGTCGGTAAGCTCGTAGTTCAGGCTGTGGATCAGCGACGTGAGGGTGTGGATGGCAGTCTTGGGTCGAATGTAAGTATACTGTCGTTGCGGATTCAACATGAGTCCGTTGCGATTTCCCAGAGGCATGAAGTTTGCATTAAGTCCAACTAAAACGACGAAGACAGAGGCAGTCTGGAGGTCGCAAGAATGAGACAACGGGCAATCAAACTGTCGGCTTCATCGGAACAAGGCTTATCGGCGTTGCTTCGGCGAAAATTCAATGTTGGAGTGGAGGGCACTCAGTATTCACTGCGGAACCCCAAAAATGTCCAGACCCGGACAAGTACGAGTTTTCAATCTGCTCGTGTGTCCGAGCAAATTCCTGACCTGCCCAGAGGTCCAGGCATGCAACCAATCCGACGTCCTGACAGGCGCCGATCACATCAGTTGCGTCAAACTGAATCCGGGCCCGGGCATGCCGGACAGCCCAAGTTGTCTCCGAAGCCCCCCTCCCTGTCTAGACCCGGACATAAGCACTTCCCATAATCTCCAGATAGACGTGCATTTGGCCCAACTCTGTGCCGATCCGGACCCGGACAGTTTTGGGGTCCCGCAGTGAGTGTCACCTCGTTCCAATTTCGGTTTATTTTGAGGGTCGTGCCGCATAACACTTGTCGCTAGGTACATTTAAATTCTGGTGAACATGACTGCAACTATCTTACTGTACTCGTCCTCAACTCGGTCATATGATCGAAGTAAAACACAACACATATATTCAACCTCGCACACACGATAGAACCAAGTACTAGATTGATTTGTCTTCTGTTCCGCATCAAAGTCAACCCTCGCTCAGGCCCCACAGGCGAGCACTCCGTTGACGTTGCTCAACGCGTCGTCTGGGAGGTGTAGCAGTTAGTGGGCATACGTCATAAGGATTGAAAATGCTCACTCAAGTCGAGACTGGTGCTGACGAAGGTCCCGGAGGTATGCTTGCAGCGCGCACTGAGCGTGACTCCGCTGAACGAAAAGTCTTCGCACGAAGAAGTGAAGCCGTTGCCGCTGGACACAACACGAATTTATGAGTGAACTCACAATCGAGCGACGGGGAAGCATGCTTACGGGTTCAACGCTCCGCCGTTGTTGGTGACGCACGCATTGAGACTAATGCTAGTGCTATCCGTGCCGCCGGAGTTGTTGCGACAAGTCGCACTGAGCTCGACATCGCCCGCGTTGAAGCTGATATTGGTGCAGGAGCTGGAAAAGTCGGTGTCGGCGACGGGGCCATTGGGAGGCGCAGCCAAGGCACCGGGGACGGCAGCCAAGGCAAAGAGGGCGAGGACGACGGAGGATAAAAGGCTGTTGTTCATTGCGAGGAAGGATGAAACTATCTTCTGTCTGTTTGCAGCGTTTTGGGATCCCATATATACCCACAACCAAGTTTATTTATTCTTCCGGAGATAATTCCTTCGCCGGACCGGCGAACACATATCCCCTGGGTGGGATCCATCTTACTCGGGGTAGGGTTGTCTAGACGGTCTTAACCAGTGAGCACACATCCTTTGTGTGGAGTGACAAGCCCATCTTACTCGGGATAGGGTTGTTTCCCGTGCACATCTCGACGCTTTTGTTTCCCGTTCCCTCGTGAAGACTATCAAACTTCTCCCGTCTGAATTGTCAATGCGGGGTTGCGGGAAGCGCAAGCTACGCAGTTCCCCACCGTCATGGACTATGTTGCTTTCTGTCATACCGAGAATTAGCTGTGATTTTATAATGTTCGTATTAACGGAAAACAAACAACAAGCTTCGGCGTTGGTTGCATGTCGTAATTCTAGACTCTGGAATGCAGGTCGGAAAACAACAGAGGTAGATGAAGTAAATAATCCAGACCTAGGGGAAGTGGATGTTCGCCGAGGTACGAAACTAGCCTGGTGATACCGCAGTCACAAGACTCGAGTTGGTCTGGTCTCTGGGTTCGAGCAGCGTAACAGGATCGGGAGATGCTCTAGGTTGCGGGATTAACAAAATCATCCCGCGGAGTGGGGTAAATTTCACATGAATCCAGGTTAGACTGTCTGCCACGAACGAGGCAGAAGCGCTGCGGTGGAAATGAGTTTCCGGTGAGGGAGAAAGTGCGGCGGAGCGACCGTGGATGTGCGGTAGAAAGGAATGCAGGGTGAAACTAGGCCACAAATTCATCCACAAAGGAATACTAAGACGTTGGTTGCGAATCCTGGATATCACTCGGCTCTAAGCGTGCCAGTGTTAATAGTTATAGTTATGTTGAAAGCTGAGTCCGTCAAGACTTGCGGCCATTCGGCTATCATACATTGTTTTTGAACCCCGTTGTTGCCGTGCCGCTCCGGCACTACAGTGCACCGGCGAACGGATAGCTCCGGGAAGCGGGCCCGGCGGAGGGAAGAGGCATACGCCCCGTAAGATAATAACATAACGTAGGCAAGGAATTGGTAGTCAAAGAATAATAATCAAATAAGGCTGCGCGTGATCGGGCGAGACAAGAGAACAAAAGGCACACAGCGGCTAAATGGCCCTGCGCCGGCGAAAAGAAGCTACGTACCTAACGAATCCTGAGCTTCTCCTTCATGCTTTGCCAGATGCCGCACAACTTCCAGGGAAAGGCTGTACGCTGAGACTCATCTGCAAGAATGAACTTGTTAGCACAGCGGATTCACAAAATTCCAGAAATGCACCTGATTTGGATGAAGTTCACCCAATGGTTTCGCGTCAACCCTGCAGACATGAGGCTGGCGCTCCCCGCATGGCCGGAGCCTGAGCATTCTGGGCATGCTGGAATTCATCATCCGCGGAAACTGACAATTCAGGTTCGAGCTGACCATATCTTGTATCATTAGCTGAAGAAAGTACATTGCCAGGAATTATTTGCCCACGACACGAAGACAGGTAACCACGCTCGTCGAGGATTTATTCACCAAACTTAGGATCTCTGAGTCGTTGACCAGGTATATCCGACTTTTCCGCCCGAGTCAGCCTTGCCACCGATTTCAGTGATTCCATGCGACTAATTGGGATACTCCTTCGACTGTCTGACGTCCATTAGCCACTCCTTTACTCCTCGGCACTTTGAATATAAAGCCTTCAATCATTGGTTCACAGTAAGTTCACAACGTGGTTGCAGCCCTGTCCTCCATGCGGATGTTGGTGTTGGATTCAGTCTTTGATTGAACTTAAATCTTAGGCGCAAGGTATTACTTACTATTCAGCCTCACACATACAATAGTATACCTTACTGCGTGTATACTTGAATTGCTTATAGAAATCAACATTCCTATAGGTAGGCCCGGCCGTCACCAAGGTGCAAGGGCCGTCTAGCTCAGTTGGTTAGAGCGTCGTGCTAATATATGGTGTGCCATAAATGTTACGCGAAGGTCTTGGGTTCGACCCCCACGATGGCCATAATCCAGTCTGCATCCTTTTGCCCCGTTGCACATCCCTCACCTTAGACGTTAGTTCTTTATCCCTCGCTGCCTCTAATTTTGTTTCCACCTCCAATGGTGGAATGATTTGTTGATCAACTTGAAGCATTGGACGCCAGTTACGCAATGTAACCTTCCCCCACGAAGGTCTGCGATAATTCGGAATTTCAAAACTCCGCTTTACAGCGATTTACCACGCGCCCCAGATGCTGATAAGTACCGGTGGCATTTCACAATTTTACATTGTTTGAAGGCAAGCGGGCCAACTGGTCGGGCCGGAAACTCGCACGTGAAAGCTGTTAATCCGTGTTGTTTCGGCAAACAAAGGGCCGGCAACTCAACTTGCCACCTACCATCACGTCGCTCGCAGCGGACCTCTCTTCCAAATGGTTCCTCGTCTCCGAGCCCGGCCCGCATGTTCTCCACATTGAACTCGTCCGGTATCCCTCCCTCCCTCCTCTTTCTCCCCGCCCGCTCTCTGACGTCCTGCATGCAGGAAACCAGTGAATGCATTCACAATCGAGTGAGCAGTCTTTTTGCCACGTATTTCTGACCGGGAAACTGAAGGAAAGATACTTAGATTCTGGTGCGCGTATCGGGACTTGTTTGATAGGATAACAAACGAAGGGCGGGATGTCCGCGCTGCCGTCCTCTCCTCTGCCATCCCGAAATTATTCACCGCGGGGATTGATCGTACGCGTATCCTCTATCTACCATCTATTCACATACACCGCTAACTTTGATTATATCCATAAAGTCACGGACGCAGCTGGAATAACCGCAGGAGGCCTCACAGGATCCTTCGTCGCCGATGGCACGCGCAAGTCGCTCTCGCTTTTGCGAGACGTCAAGGAGTTCCAGCACGCCATCAGCGCACCGGAGCGCTGCCCCTTCCCCGTCATCGTCGTCATACACGGGCTCGTCCTCGGGCTTGGCGTCGATATCATCTCTGCGTGCGATATAAGGTACGCCGCCGAGGATCCGCGTTTCAAGCGTTCACCCCCTCTTCCATTCAGTATCGCCCTCCTTTGATTTATTTGTGACATATGCCAGGAAGTCAACATCGGCCTCGCAGCAGACATCGGCAGCCTCGCGTACCTCCCCAAAATCACCGCTAACCACTCCTTCATGCGCGAGCTCGCCTACTCGGCAGCGATCTTCTCTGCCAAGGACGCAGAGCGTTTGGGGCTGGTGTCGTGTATCGTGCCACACTCTAGCGGTGAGAGGGGCTAGAAGGAAGTTATCAAGGCGGCGCTGGAATTGGCGGCTGTCATCGCGGGGAAGAGCCCATCGCCGTGATGAGGACGAAGCGCATTTTGGTTCACGCAAGGGATCATAGGTGCGTGTCTGGTCTGCGATTTTGTTTATTCTGTTGTTTCTCATTCGGCTGTGCCCGCGGATGTGGATCTGCTTCTTCGCTCGCTCGTTCGTCCCTGGATCTGTTTCACTTCTTTATTCGAGATTTGATTGTGTCGATCCGGCGCCCTCCGTGTCTTGATTCTTCAACTCAATTACATTCACGCGATTACCTTCATCCTCATCTTCGTCCAATAATATTGCATACACCTAACTAAGAACTCCCCTCGCAGCGTCCCAGAAAATCTAAACTACACCGCTGTCTGGAACGCCGCCGTGCTGCAGACCGAGGTACGCATCTTCTGTATTCTTTCATCGTCCATTTTCCTTTTCCACACTTTATCTTCCTCTTCCTTCCCTCATTTACTCTTCGTCGCTGTTCACATTCCATCCATCGTTCAATGTTCTACACTCGGGGTTCGTCATCGTCCCATTTCATCTTTCGTGCTTCTCATCCATTCATTTTTCAATATTCTACATCCGAGTGTCGTCGCCGTCGTCCGGACTCCCTTCATTCTCGTCTAGTTTACTCCGCGCTCTATCCCCTATTTCTCATCTGGGGTCCCTCGCACTCTGGCTCTTTCCATCTCCGTCAGCCATCGTGGTCCGCGCTATCTTCATCTTTCTTCTCGGTTTATGTCCCCTGTCCCCTCCTCCCCCGCTCTCCGTCTTCAATCCTTCCCTATCCGTACCATCCTTATTTTGCTAACCCCGCGTGCCAAGGACATCCCCGAGAATCGATGTAAAGGCTTAATATTAAGGCCTACAAGCGGCTGCTCGGCCGCTTCGCGGCCTCGCATCCCTTCCATTCGGCACGACATTCAACTGTGGAGGTTGATGTTGAGAATTATATCAGCTTGAGAATAAGTACCGAGAAGTCTGACCATTGGTACTCACCGTCCGACAGAATCTGTTGCTAGTTTACATGTCGAAGTTTATTCGAAGGCCGGCCTAAATGCGGCAGAGGACGGCACCGCAGAGTTAGAAGTTATTAACCGTTCTTTAAGCATATCCCTCGTTGTCGAACCTGCCATGTAATGTCTCAAATTAAATACATATCACTATAATGAAAATATAAACCATACATGTGATACATCCCTGACCTTTTTTGGTTGCCAGAGCGAAGCGAAGGCGCATCTTGTTTGGTGAAACAATCAACGGTGCCGGCCTGGAGTGCCTGTGGACATACGTTGAGCGGAGTTTAAAAAGGCTTTGGACAGACGGATGGGATAACGTAATTTTATACATCTGTCATGAGAAGACGGGGTAGGTAGGTAGGTAGGTAGAATTACACGGCATGGTCCCGCTTAGGAACGCCGGTTTCAGGAAGTATCCCGCTGTACTACAGGCATTTATGTACACCTTCGTTCCCGACCTCTATGAATCTCCGAGCCGAGCTCACGCACCCAGTTTCCCGTCACGTTGTAGAACTCGTCGACACACAGAGGCAAGAAAAGAAAAGAAAACGAGATAAGCATGTATACCTTAGACAGCCGGCAGTCGAAACACGGGAATTGCATAAAAAACCTGAAGAACTTCATGTGCAAATTTAGCCACGAGGAATGTCGGATCGAAGCACAGGTCAGCTGAGCAGCGGAGTTTGAAAAGGCTTCGGACGGACAGAATGCTTAATTTTATAAAGAGGGTGATTAAGCCTTAACATTAACTTAAGGCTTAACCCTTAAGACCAACACTGGTTCGAAGTTGCCATGTGAGTGGAACAGTATGGAATTGACAGAATGAAATGCAGGGATGAAAACGGAGAGTCGTAAAACATGATTCAGGCGCACGGAGATGACAACAAGTCAGGATAGTATTCTATTAAAGAATTATACAAGTGGATCTATGGACTAATTATGATAGCGCAAAGAGTGAGTAGAGCGCGGAGCGCAGGACGGGCGGCAATGATCGTGATCTACCTGGTTGCACATAAAGAAAAAGCAATAAATAGTGCGGAAACCAGTGAAACCAAAAAAATTAACGGAGACCCCGAGATGAAATAATGAGTGTGTGCTGCGAGATTTTTGGAGCGTGCAGACAAGCAGCGATTATGCCCTCGCAGCGGCGATGATGACATCGGCCGCCTTCTCCGACATCTGTACGCCCGTCATCAGTATCGTTGGTCAGATTCACAGAACGAGGTGCGAACCATGTACGTGGGCGTGGCGACAAAGAATCCGGGAATCGTCGGCCAAGAGCTGATGTCGACCACCCGCAAGTTGGCGACACCGCGAACCTTGAAGTTGCCATCGAGTACGGCCATGGGATCTGCGCGCAGAAAGTCAACATCAACCACATTAACCGAAACATGTAAACGCACCGGAGGCGATACCCATCTTGTTCGTGCAGCATGCGTGGTGACCTGAGTGGAGACAATTGATATGAGTCATGGACATTGAGGAAGCAGAATACAACTTACCAAAGACGTTCTCCAGAATGTGGTCCTGAATCTCCACATTGGACGTGACATCCGGCGTAGGGAAGATACGCTCATCGACATGGACGTTGAGATCGCCGTTCTCAACGACGCCCCAGGCAGATTTGATGCCGGTCATAACTGCGTTGATATCAGATTGACCACCAGCGGCCTCGAAGTGGCGCTTCTCGATGTGGAGCACGTCCTGAGGGTCGCTACCAGTAAGGCTGACCGAGCCGCGCGAAGAGGGGTGCGCCTTGAGAACCACACTCGTGAGGACGTTCTTGTGCTCGGCGAGCTCCTGCGCGAAGCCGTGGAAGAAGCCGCGGAAATAACCGGTCAACCAGTAAGTGAACAGGTCAGGCTGCGTCAGGCTGGGATCGCTCTTGGCCATCGTGGTGAACAGCGCCGGGCCCTGACCGTAAACACCGTTCTGCCAGTTGTTGAGGCACGGGTCGTCCTTGACGTCGTAGAGGAATGTGCAGCCGTTCAAGAGGGTGAAGTTCTGCTTCAGGCTCCAGATGCTGGCAACCTCGTCGTGATCTGTTTGAATGGCGTTCAGAGAAATGGTTGAGGGCGCGAAGTGTGCGAACTTTACCCTGAAGGTTCTGTCCAACACCGGGAAGGTTGACGACGGGGGTGATGCCAAACTGCTTGAGTTCGGTTTGGTTCCCAATACCAGAAAGCTGAGATACGATCAGAGATTGTGGACGTAGAAGAAGTGGTATCGTACCATGAGCTAAAAAGAACACGTCAGATTATATTTTAAACGAAATAAGAAGGAAACACCCACCAGCTGGGGAGACTGGAAGACACCGGCGCTGACGATGACCTCGTGGCGGGCGGTCACAAGCTTGGTGGTCAATTTGCCCTTGCCGGCGAAATTGCTTGCGACGGCGATGGCCCCTCCCACAGCAATGTTGACTCCGAACGCCGTGGGCAAGCCGCCACCGGAGGGAGTGCACAACGCGATCTTCGTAGCGAGGGTACTGTAGGAAATTGACAGCTTGCCTTTGGTGGCCACCTGAACGTCGGTGAGCCGGCTGCGCACGGAGGTTCGGTTGCGGGTGTTGTCGATGGTGTAGCTGGGGTTGCCAACACCAACGGCGGCGACGTTCGCGATGGAGTTCACATCGGCAATAGCGGGACCAGACGATGCAATCGTGTTAATGACGCTGAGGAACTGCGTGTCTAAAATAAAAATCGTA